CTGCCAGCTTTATCTATTAAAAAGCTGATTCTGCACTCCTCTATTTGAAATACATAATAACTCCTCATAACAACAGTTAAAAGTCAAGTCTAGTCTCTTTAGAAAGATATGTAAGTTCAGTTTTCCTCCTTTTTATAAACATCTGGTTTCTTTCCTGTGTCATCTAATACTTCTCTGTTCTATAATACATCTTAACAAAGGATCTGTTGTTCCCTGAATGTACTGTTTCATTCTATTTCCTATGTTTAAGACTACACTTTGTTTTGTCTCTTTAGTAAGTCCAACTCACCTTAAACGCCTAAGTCTATCAATTCTCCTAAGTTTTCTGAGTCAAAGTCATCAATTTTTTTCCTCTATAATTTCACTTTGTATGTCTGTGTGTACACACTTATCACTAGTATCATCTTGTACAGGTGATATTGGGAAATTATTATTTTAATTAAGAATGGAGATCATACAAAATCTATTATTTGATGACATTGGAATTAAACTAATAATTAATAGTGAAGATAACTTAGAAATCCCAGATATTTGGAAATCAAACAACAACCATCAAATAAGCTGTGAATCAAAGAGGACTTTACCAGGGAAAAGAGAAAATATTTTGAATTGAATACAAATTAAGGCAAACTGTATCCAAATTTGTGAATGTATCTAAAACAGTACTTGGAAAGAAATTCCTTGTATTAAATTCTTATATGAGGAAAGAAGAAAATCTGAAATCAGTGATCCAAGCTTTTATTTTAAGAAACTAGAAAATGGGGAGCACCTTAAAGTCAAGTAAAACATGCACAAAAAGAAACAATGAGTAACAAAATTGAGAAAGAGAAAAAGAAAGAAACTGAGAGAAAACCCAAAAGGCAATCACAGCATCAACAAAAATAAATAAATGGGACACGATCAAATTAAAAAGCTTCTGCACAGCCTAAGAAACTATCACAAGAGCAAACAATCTACAGAATGGGAAAAAATATTTGCATGTTGCACATCCAATAAAGGGCCTAAAAATATAATCTATCTACAACTCAGGAAAATTGGCAAGAAAAAAAATCAAATAACCCCATTAAAAAGTGGGCAAAGGACATGAACAGAAACTTTTCAAAAGAAGATAGATTAATGGGCAGCAAAACACATGAAAAAATGCTCAACATCTCTAGTCATTAGGAAAATGCAAATCAAAACCATAATGAGATGTTATCTAACTCCAGTGAGAATGGCTTTTATCAAAAAGTCTCAAAACAACAAATGTTGGAGTGGATGTAGAGAGATGGGAACACTCTTACATTTCTGGTGGGACTGCAAACTAGTATAACCTCTGTGGAAAGTAGTATGAAGATACCTCAAAGAACTAAAAGTAGAACTACCATTTTATCCAGCAATTCCACTACTAGGTATTTACACAAAGGATAAAAAGACATTCTATAAAAAAGGCATCTGCTCTTGGAAGTTCATAGCAGCACAATTCACAATTACAACGATGTGGAATCAACCCAAGTGCCCATCAATACATGAGTGGATTAATAAAATGTGTTATATGTATTACATGGAGTATTACTTAGCCACAAGAAACAATGGTGAGCTAACACCTCTTGTAGTATCCTGGATGGAGCCTGAGCCCATTCTTCTAGGTGAGGTATCATGGGAATGGAAAAACAAGCACCACATGTACTCACCATTAAATTGGTACTAACGATCAACACTTACGTGCACATATGGAAGTAACATTCATAGGGCGTCAGGCAGGTGGGAACGGGGAGGAGGGTATGGGTAAATTCACACCTAATGGTACAGTGCATGATGCCTAGAGCATCAGGCTCCAGGAGCCTTAGGAGAAGATTTGTTTAGATATGGAAACAAAATTAAAAGATTAAAATGAAAACTCTAAAAATAAAAATACAACATAAATCCAGCAAATGGAAGACACAAACCACCAAAGCTCACTCATGAAGAAATAGGTATCTGGAATAGTCTTATAATAATTAAACACTTTGAATTTATTAACATATTTTCAACCCTTCTAATGAAGTATGACCTTGCTATTTTCACTAGGCAGTTAAATCAATCAACCAATTAAGGAATAAATAAAACCAATTATTTATATATTGTTCCAGAATATTATATTACAAAGGAGGAAATAATTACCAATTAATTTTCAAAGGCTAGCATTACTCAGATAAAATCCATTATTAAAAAAAACATGCCGATATCCTGCATGAAAATAGATTTACCAACAAAATATGAGGAATTCGAATCCAGTAACATGTAAAAAGAATAATTGTGATCGAGTAAGATTTAGCCTTGGAATGAAGGGCTGGACCAACATTCAAAAGTTAATTAAGGAAATTGCCCATATAAAAATAAATGTAAAAACATGATCAGGCCAGGAAGTGTAAAGGAGGGGGGATTAAGAGGAGTTGGTTGATGGTACAAATATACAGTTAGATAGAAGGAATAAATTTTAGTATTTGATAATACAGTAGGGAGACTATAGTTAATTTATTATATATTTCATAATAGAAGCTTAACATGTCTCCAATACAAAGAAAAGGTAAATGTTTGAGGTGATGAGAGCAGCAAAACAGATTTGCAAAAATTAGCATCATTTGTCCATTTATGAATAAAAATCTCTAAGTAATCCAGAAAGTGAAAGAAATTTCCTCAGCATGAAATTTCCTCAGTTTGTAGTCCTATGAGCAGTATAAGAGTTTTTCCCATCTCTCTACATCCACTCCAATATTTGTTGCTTTGGGTCTTTTTGGTAAAAGCCCTTCTCACTGGAGTTAGGTGAAATCTTATTGTGGTTTTGATTTGCATTTCCCTGCTGATTAGAGATTTGAGCATTTTTTCCATATGTTTGTTGGCCATTAGTTTACCTTCATTGGAAACTTTCTGTTCATATCCTTTGTCCACTTTTTAACAGGGTTGTTTGATTTTTTCTTGTTGATTTGCTTGAGTTCTTTATAAATTCTAGTTATCAGCCCTTTATCAGATGTGTAGTGTGAAAATATTTTTCCCATTCTGTAGGTTGTCTATTCGCTCTAGTGATAGTTTCTTTGGCTGTGTAGAAGCTTTTTAATTTGATCAGGTCCCATTTATTTATTTATTTATTTGATGCTGTGATTGCTTTTGGGGTCTCTTCCTCCTTCCCCTCCCCCCTCCTTCCCCTCCTCCTCCTTCTTCTTCTTCTTCTTCATAAATTCTTTGCCTAGGCTAATGTCTATAAGAATTTTTTCAACATATCTCACAGGGTTCTTTTTGATGAAAAGTCTTTTTTTCTTTTGGGTAAATATCCAATAGTGGGAATGCTGGATGAAATGGTAGGTCTTTAGTTCTTTGAGGAATCTCCATACAGTTTTCCATAGAGTTTGTACTAATTTATTATCCCACCAATCATTTATAAGCATTCCTTTCTCTCTGCATCCATGCACAGAAGGAAGTAAAACTCAGTGGAAATCAACTGGGGAAGGAGATGGAAAAACCTACCTAATAGGTATTAAGAACATTATTTGGGTGATGAGCACATCTTTAGCCAAGACTTAAGCATTATACAAGTGATCCATGTAACCTAAAACATTTGTACTCGCTTAATATTTTGAAATAAAATATTTGCTCATGATGTATAGCATAGACATAATGCCATAATTTCTAAATGACATAATTTCTAGACCATAGGAGAAAATTTTTGTGAATGTGGATTAGGTAAAATTTCTAAGATGCAACATCAAAAGTATGAGCTAATAAAGAAAAACAATGATAAACTGGACTTCACAAAATTTAAAAAATTCTATATTTTGAAAGACATTCTTAAGGAAATAAAAGGCACAAACTGGGAAATACTGTTTACAAAACACATGTTCTGATAAAAATCCTACTCAGTATATAAAAACAACTCTCAGTACTCAAGAAGAAAAAGAAAACCAAAACCCTGATGGGCAAAAGTTTTGAAGAGATACTTTATCAAATAACATATAGATATAGACGTAGATATAGACATATATATGGCACACAAGCACATAAAAAATGTACTCAACATTATTATTAAGTGCAAATGAAAACCTCAACTTAATACTAAATATATATTAAAATGGCAAAAAAAAAGGATCAAGTGCTGTTGAGAATGTGATGCAAATGGAACTTTTACACACTGATGATTACAACAAATTTAAATTACAGCTTGGAGGTTTTTATAATGTTAAACATGTACATATCATTTGACCCCACAATTTCATACCCAAAAGAAATAAAAACCCATGTTTGTGTAAATTGTGTAAAAGGCAAAATTATGGAATAGAGAAATGTCCAATGAGCCCACCATGGATGATTGGAGGGGTTGGAGAATGGGAGCCTTCAATGTAGATGTGAGGTAAATCTACCTCTTGTTTAGTGGGATAAGGTTGATTGTGAGAGAAGAGATGAAAACTCAGTGGTAACAGGTGCATGCCCACGTTTCCAGAAATCACTTTCCAGAGAGTAGATATGGACATTGAGGATCTCAACACTGTCCATTTCAGAACTACTTGATTCCACATGTCTTTTCAAAAGTCTTTGTGTACCCTCAAGGGTACATGATGACTAGCTTGACTGCCACTACTTCAGTGTTAGCCTGATTAAATGTCCCTACGGAAAGGCAAGAATACCTCCAGGCAATTATTCATGTTTTGGGCTCTCCAAGAAGACTCACAGTTCCTTAACAGAGATGATATCTTATTTGTTTTCTATCATCTATGTGCTGTGCAAAGCAATAATAAGTGTCACAAATATATGTATTGGATGAGTGAATCTATAATTCTAATGACTCAAGTGAAACTCGAACTTGTAGTTAGCAATTCAAGAAAATATGTCATGAACTGACTGAAGTCTACAGCTCACAGAACCCCAGGTCACAGCAAGAATTAAATTATTCCCCCCAAAGGAATTGATTGAATTACATTGATGTGGTTAATTTTGAAATTGTAGTTCTTTTTTTATAATTGTAAACATTCCTTATAACAAAGTGTTACCTGATCCATTGATGCATTTTTTTCCAAGCAATTTGTTCACAGTACAATAGAAGTCACCAGTGCAGACACACTCTTTAAACTGAAAATTGCTTTCCACTAAGAACTGGATAGCCAGGTTACAGTGTGATGAATTCCTCATCTTGCAGGGGTGACCTGGATTCACAATCAAACATATTAACACTCCAGATATTAATCTGATTATAAGTGTTGAGCCTCCCTCTTCAAAATGCTTTTAACATGCCAATCTGAGTAATTCATTAGTATAGTAAGATTATCTGAGATTACTACAGGACGTCCATATAAGTGACTTTTTAAGTGAAACATCTATTTTTACTGTATTTTTCAATAGAGTACTTTCTAAAACAGGTTAAAACTTTCTACATTTTAAAATAGCTTTGTTCCTACTTAAAATGCCAAATTTTTCTCTTCAGTAATAATCAAAGCTGCCTTTACATAAAGTAACTAGAATGCTCTCCAATATTAGCTATTTTATCTGCTGATTTGTTTTACTAGTTATTTTGTCTTAATCTGATATTTTACTTTATACTTCATTCTAAGATTATAATAAGAAATGTGCAGGTGGCTCTAAATTTATGAGAAATGAAATAGTTCTAGTGCTTAGAAAGCACTCAATAAATATTATTAAATAAATGAATGTGTCTTTCATAATTACTAATATTTTTTTCTGTGTTAATTTAAAAAGCCATATTCCTCTATGTGACAGTTTTCTTTTGTTCATTATTCTGAAGAAAACTACTTGAGTTTATTTGATTTGTGCATGTGAGAATGTTTCTATTTCAGCTTCATGCATGGAATAATTATGCAAATATTATTGTAATTTACTGCAAGTGTCCCATTATTTGTACACTGAAATTCATAAATAAGTTATATAACATTTCATAACACACTGTTATATTTTAACAACACATTTTAAATTGCCTTATAAAATACAGCAAGAGGTTTCATCATCGAAACAAATAACAAATTATTTCTTTCATCTTCTATCCTCAACTTAAAACTACTCTGTTAATTTGAGAAATTATGCCTTTAGAATTCATTTTCCTGAACAATAATATAAATGTTGGATTAGATAGCTATAACTGAATATTCCATGTACTCTGTCAAGGACAGAGAAGAAAAGGAACTCTCTCTGCCTTCCTCCATATCCTATGCAATTTATTGAGGTCATGCTGCTGGGCTCTACTGGTAGAGACTGTGTAGGCTGCTATTGTTAGACCTATAGACTGCTGCCTTTTGACCCAACATATTCCACTTCACCCATTTTGGGACATAAAGGAATCATATAAAGATAGGCAAGAGTCATGAGCAGTACAGAACTTACTCTTTGTGAAATGGATGGAGAAACAGGGTGAGTCATAGAATACATTTTTTATTTTCCCACTTGGATATTTCTCTTACTGAATATCCCAGAAAGTTTATCAGATTATTTAGAGTATTATAATATTCATAATACAAGATGATATAACTTGTCATTCTATTAGAATACTATTATTGAATAGTTTTGTCATGACATTATTAGGGCAATGTCCTGCTATATAATCAGTTTATTATATTTTAGTGAATGGGTTCTTGTTATAATGCTCTCATTCAATATTTATTCAGCTACTTGAATATTCTGGACTTTTTTTTTTCCTATTTAAGCAACTACCACTCACTATCTAATCTTCACATCCTTTGCCTCTTGACTCTCCCATGGATGTTTGGAATGTAGGACAAGTTAAAAACAAAAAATATGTTTCAACTTATTCTTAGTGCTATTAAAGTGGAAGTATATATATTTCAAGAAAATAAAATGCATTTTATACATGTACACATAAATTACAATTGTTATAATAAACCTTATTATTTTTCTATTTTATCACTGACATACTAACATATAAACAAAATATTAACATTTTATTTAAAAAAGTATTGCCATGGTTCTGAGAGGCATGCATATAATTGCAGCAGTATACATGGTGATATGAGTAAGAAAATAATTTGGAGTAGGTGGGGGTGGTTGTTCACATACATAATCTCAGCTACTCAGGAGGCTAAGGCAGGAGGACTTCTTGAGCCCAGGAGTTCAAGGATGCAGTGAGTTATGATTATACCACTGCATGCTAGCCTGGGTGACAGAGTGAGACTCCCTCTCTAAAAAATATATAATAAAATAATATTTGAAGTCTTGCATAAAACTTCCTTCAGTGCTATTACATCAGGACCCTTTAGTAATTAAGAAATTCCTTTTGTAAGTACATGTGCTAACAAGTGATCGAAGGTGAATTAATTGAATATCAAGATCGAGTAAGGTATTTAGAGCAAAACCAATTTAGTTCCTAGAATAGTGAAAGAAAATATCAAATCCTATTTTTATCTTAGTAAAAAGAAATAATTTGAGTTTATTTTAGCAATTTGTTTTACCTGAATCATTGCAGGCATCCTCCAGTAGTTTCCATGCATGTTTACATCCATTTGTATCATTTAAACATTGCTCTCTTAAATATGTGCAGTCACTGGTTTGGGAAATGTACTCATTTTCCAAGCTTAGCCCCATAGCTTGAAAAACAACAACAAAAACAAGTTTGTAATATTATTGTTTGACAGCTATTGTCCCCAAATCTAAGTTATTAATGATAAAGAGCAGAATTATGTAAAATAAGATGTGGTAAAATTACTATAAGCCTGAAATGAATTTTAACCTCCCCTCCAGCTATAGAATTGTATTTCTCCTATACAAGATTCTTAAATAACTAGTTTATATTTGTTTCCTTTGCTTTCTCATTGCCCATTCATTCCTCCACTTATAATTTATTTTTATGACCATTGCTCCATTAAAACAGTTCTTGTAAAATGTCTTTAATCACATGCTTAATGTCAAATTTAATAGTTTTAAGATTTATCTCACCTACTTTTAACACTTGGCATTTTGTTGATGTGTTTGTTCTTGAAACTCTCTCTTTGTCAACACAAACTTCTAGTTCTCTTCACATGTATCCCCTTGATATTTTCTGGCTATAGTTAGAATTCTTCCCGAGATCCTCTTACTCTTTTAAAGAGTATTTTTAGCCAAGGTTCTGTCCTCAAACCTTCCCTGTTTTTATTGCATACATTATCTGTGGACAATTCCGCGTTATACCCTCTGATCTACCTAATGCACTATTCCAGTCCTGCAGTTTCTGTTTATTTCTTTTGGATGGTTCCTTATGCCATGGCTTTCATATTCCCCCCCCTTGTGCAATTTGGAAGTTCTCAAGCATTTAGTTTCCCAAATACTCCATGCTATCTTATACCTCTGAGTATTCACTGTCTTGTCCCTGGTAAACACTCTCTTTCTTTTTCTTCAGGAATATCCCTTCTTGACTTTTAATACTCAACACAATCATTACCTCTTTTAAGGAAACTTTCCCTGAATTCTATACCCTTTCCATTCTACACCCAAATTGAATTTGACATCCCTCACCTATTTATCTAGAACTTTGAGGATTCCCCAGGTATAGAATTTACTGCTCTGTAGTCAGTGTATTCATGTGCTTGTGTTCACCACTAAATTTTAGGGCTTTACTGGGCAGGCATTAAGGGTAATTTATAATTGTATTTCTATCATCAAACACAATGATGCATTATAAGTGTTCAATAAATGTATATTGACTTACGCCAAACATATTAGATGTTTATAGATGAGTTATATATAAATAAATGATAATATATAATATAAAATAGCACCTTCCAGGTATTTACAAGTTATTTTTAGTGAAAGACAAAACGATCCAGCAAGTTTTCTAAAAACAATAAAGAAAATAGCAATGCTAATTGAGCATGTTACACAAGTTAGTCAAATTGATTCTGCAAACTGACACTAGCTTAATCAATTAATTAAAATATGAGACTCACAATGAGTTATAGAAACAGTTATATTAACTGTAATCAAGAGACCTCAAGCTATGTCTTAATGAGAGCCAAATCATTTGAATTTTTTAAAAGATGATGTTAATTATGAATCACCTATGACAATGTAATTATAGGTTTCAAGTAAGGCCTTGAAAACTTTCCTTTTATCTTACCTCTTTCCAAACCTTGTCTCCTAAGGAGAATCCAAGACAACTGATAGGACCATGTGTACTACTTGCTGGGTCACTGCATTTGGTGATTTAGGCTCATGGGTGTGGCTTGGTCACATTTTTCTTGTTGAGGGCTAGAGTGAAAATTGACATATCAGCTTTCTGCTTTTTCAGGTGTTCATGGACAATTTCATCTAGCCAAGCTCCTATACTTTTAAATTTGCAAGCCCAGAGAAAAAGAAAGAGGGCTCTTTTGATCCTGGCCCAAAGTTACCTGGTCAAATTCAATTTTCCAAAGACCCCTAAATAAGAGATTTCATGTCATAAACTGAATTTATAATAAACTGGAATTTTATGGGCATTTTTATGGCAATTGATCATTATATTTTGTGACAAGCTGTCTCAAAAAAACTTGTAAGTGATGGTCTTTTGGACATTTCATCAAAATGTCACTAGTAACTCAAGAGTGATCATTTATGAATGCTACATAGCTTGTCCAAATATGTTTTACTTCCTTTCACATTTTCAATTTTTGGTTGAATAATCCACTTGATTATTTCACATAATTTTCTATACTTTTCATTCAGATAAAATATCAAATCAATTAAAAAAATCATCACAATGATTTGGCCCACAAGAACAAAAAATACAAATTTACCTTTCCAAAATTTGCCTTTTTTTATTTCTGACTATGATCTGTGGCTCTGTAATCAATCTGGATTTTTTAAAGATTCTCCTGAAATTCTCAGTGAAAAACAGGTTCTATTTTAAAAATTAATAAGATGGAGAATGCTACACCTTATATCACCTTCTTAAAGATGTATAAAGCTCATTAGCCAATTAAATGCTCTTCATTTTAAAATGTCACTGTTTTCATGTTTCTTTGGCAACAGGAATGTCTCTCATCACAAGATCTATTTAGGTGATGTTGAGCAAATATTCTGAAGAATGCATTATGGAAAATATTGATACAAACTGTCAAATAGTACAATTTTGGTCCTAACAATGTTAGAAGTTATTTTGGCCCTTCATGCAATCTGTTGTCAAGATTAATTTAGAAGTAAAAGATCAAAACAAGGCCACTGACTTTTCAACTGAGGCCATGAGGTTGTAATATATTGTGTGAACCCTGTGTTATACCACTGCCTGATCTACAAAAACTAGTCTCCTAGATTTATCTTTATAACAAAAATAGATGTAAAGAAATATTAGAAATCAATACAAAAATAAGAAAATATTTTATAAACAAGTACAAGAAGCAAAATTTTAGAACACTGAAGAACAATTATTTAAACCAAAGAAAATATGAAACTATATAAAAGATTTCTTTCCTTCTTGACTCAATTTTCTTACTTGATTTATTTTGACTCTCCTATTATGTTCAATATAATTTAAAAGAACCTTCTTTGTTTTCTTGCCCACAGTGATGCCTTTATTCATCAATATTTATTAGAATAAACAGAAAATATCTTGGTATTGCTTATTAATGTCCAGCTACAATCACAGGTATCCTATTTTCTGAATTCAATTTATAGAGTCTACCAAATCCTAAGAAGATATAAAAGCTTCTCTAATCACACATCTAGCAATTAGATTTTCATGGATTCTATTGATTAACTGCAAAATATTTTTTTTCATCAACATCTACCATACACTCATAGGTTCCAGTAAAAGAGGGATAAATCAACACTTTATCTTTAGTTCATAAAAGTTGATCAAAATGTGAAGCATTCGTTGTGGTGTTAAGTTGTTGTACTCTAATAAATGACTCCTACTTAGTAAATATTAACACTTTAGGGGAATCAGATGGTTTAAATTAATATTATTTTCATTTAATTTCAAAGCGGAACAGACAAAATAAATAATAATTTGAAATATGTCATCTTATAACTTGTAAATAGGTTCTGGAAGGTTTCATTTCTAAAAAGTTCTAGCACATATGTGAATTCCATAAACCCTAATAAATAACTCAAAGTCATTGGATTACTTCATATACTAAAACAGAAGTAACCTGAAAGATTAATGCAATTGTCACATTATGCATTCTCTATACAGTTAGAAATAAGTGAGTAAAAGGGAACATACATTTTTGCAAGAGTAATAGACCATATTAAAGCATAGATTTGTAATGTAATTGGTACTTTATATTATAAGCCCCTGTTAAGCTTAAGTTAGATGGGGTGGCGTTTGATTTACAAAGAATTGGTATTATAATGAAGCCAGATAAACCAGAAGCACAGTTCACTTACCCAGGAAAATGAGCACTATCATTTTGGATAACTTGGAACTGTTCATCTGGAAGAAAGGCAGATGTGTTTACTCCAAACACCTTCTTAACAGAAACTGTCTAGAATAAGGCTTCAGCTTCTGTTTTGTTTCCTAAGAGCATTATCAATTCAAGTCAGCTTCCTGTGTCATCATTTCCTCACCAATCTTTCCTGAGCTGTGAACCTTCCTAATTATATTCAAATTCAATTATTCTCCTGAGTGCGCTGATCTTGGATATTAGGACATTATGCTTCTCAGAAAGCCCACGACCCGAGTCAAATATTAAGGGAGAATGATGCATACTCTGCACATTCATGGAAAAGTGTTTGTTTTTTTTTTTTTTTTCTCCAACTAGAATGCTAAAACCTACCAAATAGGACTCAAGATTTTCACAGACACTTGAATATGCTCAGTTCCCACCTTATTAATTAGCCTTATTAAGGCAGTCTCATGTAATCTGAGGATATGAAAGACTAGAAAAGGCTTAAGCAGCCCAGGAAAAGGTATGAGAAATCAAAGTTTCACTAGAATTAGACTGGTATACCTCATCTTCCCAAACAAGGAATGTTCTATTACATGTGCCACAAACTCCAGTATGCTTAAAAATTGTGCTACTTCACCCATAGTTCCTCATATCCTCCAAATACACCTATAGTGTAAAAAGTAACTCCTCACAGTGATGCAGAAATTCTCTGTTCCACTGGCAAGGTAATTATCCACTTCAGTGTTCATCACTTGACAATTACTTCTCTCCAGGCGTCAATGAGGAGCATTATTTGTCTCATGTCTTCCTTTGATTATGTCCTTCCACATAAGCTTATAGCACGTCGTCTCCCTTGGGGTGTCCTGAGGCTTCTGTTTTTAAATCACCCTGAGACCTTTCTGTAATGGATGCTTAGGAAATATGAAATGCTGCTTTGGCAGAAAAAAAAAAATTAAAAAGATAGGAATGGGAAAGAGGAGCATATGTGCACAGTTACACAATTAAATAGTTTTTGATTATGTATTGTTGATGTTTATTTTATACCAGTAGAGAAGTTATAATGTATTTTGTTTTCAGAATGTGTAATGGAAAAATCACAGACTCTGGAATCCAACAAACCAAAATTATAACACTATTTTTTTCTGTAGATTATGCGTCCTCAAGCTACGGCCCATGGGCCACAGGCGGGTATTTTTGCCTGTTTGTTTTATCACTTCAAAATAAGATATGTGCAGTGTGCATAGGAATTTGTTC